GGTACAGTGTAACGTGCAGACGAAGCATCAACTTCGCCTGCAGACTGCTTTCCGCTTGGGTGTCATGTGACCAGAGTGTAAGCCTTTGCGATTAGAAAATCTAATTTTATTACATTGCGATAATATCGCTAATGCAATTAATCGTTCATCCCTACTAACTACATACAGTAACGGCCAAATGACTTCCTGCATTGTTATTGGATATTATATTAGACTTCAATTGTGCGCTGGCAAATTGTCCTATAACTAATTCCTGGAGATACTTGCCGAGTATTGTTCTGTACTGTACACTCACATGCAATAGATGAATAGTTTAGTACAACCCTATGGAGGCCTAAAGGGTCTAGCACACTGTACATTCTTTAGCTAAAACGGACTAATAATTTTATGTAAATTCCATTCAGTAAAGCTTTTCCAAAGCAGGCATATAATTAGGTCTTTGAGAAAGAACAAAAAATATCCTCTGTCTCTGCTTGGTTTCGGGTCTCTAATTTTGCATTACCAGGTCAGGTCTAAAAGGCATGGATACAGGCCGGGGATTTTGGTCTTGCTTTTAGGCCTGTACAGCACTCTATAAACTATAATACTAAAATATAATCATATCTTAATAATTGCCACAGAGTGCCACCGGGTGTCAGAGCTGCCAGAGGGTGCCTGTGGCTGTTAGAGGGTGCCACTAGCTGCCACTGCCACTGGGAGGATCTTGCTTTCTCTCCATATCCTGTCATTATCACTGTAACTATAATTGGAAAATATCCTTTTTAATATACATAAAAAACAGCATGATTCAGTTTGGTTTACAGTTTTTGCAAATAGTGATGAAATTCACCCAGTTTGTCAAACACCAGCCATAACACGACGCAGACAGAGTCAGTGGACTTTCTGAGTAAAGGGTACCTTGACAAAGGCATCGATACTTCCAGAGATGACAGAGATGTCCGGTGGAAATAAATGAATAGCTTCCCTCACAGTGGGATTTGCTGGTAATGTTAGTAAATTTTCAACATCTGGAAGGTCTTTGTGACTGGCGACCTGTCCAGGGTGTACCCCACCTTTCGCCCGATGTCAGCTGGGATTGGCTCCAGCCCCCCGCGACACTGTACGCAGGATAAGCGGTTGACGATGGATGGATGGATGGATGGATGGATGGATGGAAGGTCTTTGTTTCCATGTTGGAAAAGTGCAGTTCTTTTGAGTGTGGCTGATGCACAATGAAGCACTCAAAGATGCATCAGGGTTCAGTAGGTGAGGTTTTAATAATGCAGATGAAAGTAACTGTATTCATTGTTCTCACATTGTGAATTGTATTGGAATTAGACTAACATCATGTCTTGCAGGTGCAGAGCCTCTAGCAGATTTCACATACATATTATCTGGCTGACTCTGACTCAAATTAAATGCAGAGTTCTGGGGTAGGTTTGATGAAGATCCTCTGGGGCAAAGCACAAGTGCAGAATCATCTTCCCTGAAAGTAACAAGTCAGGCAGAGTGTATTGTCAAAGTGCAGATAATTGACCCAGAGGAGAGCAATCAAAGAGACTGTCATTAATGCTTTAATAAGCAATTGTCAATTACAAGGGCTTTGCCTGACATTGCAACGTTCCCCTTAAGGCCCCTGCATAGTGAGGGACTCCAAAAAAAAAGCAATTAAAAAGTAAACTATTGTGAAACAGAAATGGCTTGAACATACAAGAAGAAAGTTTAATTTTGTTTTCTGCAAATTCATATTGTGACTTGCCGAGGAGGAGAAGAGCTTGATTTCACTTGTTGGCATCATCCTAGTAAAAAACAGGCTAAGTCACCATGGAAGGGGGTTCTGAAATACAGGGTGTTTTTCAGTGACCTAAATCTTATAGGTCTGAAACCAGACTGTTGGAACACAGGCCTAGATTTAATATGCTGGGACTTATGTTCATGCTTTCCAGGGGCAAATGTCACTTCAAGCAGATACAAATTTTCAAAAATACCCCCCTTTAGAGCAGGAAGACAGCTTGGGGACAAATGTTAGACCCAGATAGTCAGTAATCTTCGAACTCAACACAGAGCCACCGGATCTTAAAAATAGTAGATAACTCTGCAGCACGCTTAGGCCTACATGGTTACTTCTGAGTAAAGCATGTTACGCAAGACCAACTAGAGATCTAGGTTAAATCTAGAAGAAACTATTACAAAACCTCACCAATAGTTACTAGAGTTCAATCCCATCAGATGAGCTTTAAATCACTTGGTGTGAAAATGTTTATCTAAGACAGTGCAACATAGTGACACAGTTTTCAGAAGAATAATCTCTTTCAGATTAACCCCTTGATGGCCTTCTTAGGCAAAAGGGTTCAAAGGTTAAAAGAAGCTAAACTTACACATCTGATGCTGACTTAAAGCAGAACAGGCTAACAGGCTGCCATAGGATTTCAGTTTTGTAAGACTGAAGACAAGCGAGTCAAAATCAATTTAGATTCACTGCTGCTCCCTATAGGCTCCAACAGTTGGTGGAGATATGTGTCAATATTTAGTTTATGTTCACTTTTGATGGAGTCTGAGGGAAAATTAGATTCTGTGAACAAAGCGTTGCGTGAAAACATGCTGAAAGGAATCGGCTATGTTATGTGTGCCTGTCACAACAAAGCACTGGCCTATATTTGAATGAATCTTACAATTCATTCTATCATTAATTCAGCTTGATATAAAGCTTGAGTAGTTACGCTATGATCTGTAATGCATCCCGCTCCTTTAAATGTTTTTTTTTTTTTTTTTTTAGAATAAACCATGCAAGACTGAAGCAATGCAATAAATACTCTGATGATATAAATTAATCCATGGCCATTATAAAGCTTAAATACGCACCTCTGACACAGGCTTTCACATAGTGCTGCCAATGTAAAAGTTTTAAGCATGAAGGGAAATGCTTAGTTTGCTTATGTATTCAGCATGACACACTTGTGGGCCCCTGGTAAAAATAAATTTCCTTTCTCATTTCAGTAGCAGGGCCTGCTGCTGTGTGTTCGGTCACAGCAGTTGTTCAGCCACATACTGTTTCTCTACTCCAGCATCTCTCCTCTTGTGCCATGAATGTCACGACTGCAGCCACAGGCTCCACTAAAGGAGCACGAGCCTTATGACGCCCCCAGGGCACCAATATCCCTTTAGCCTTCACAAAACCTAGCTTATGGAATCAGATACACTATGTAGCTCGACAAATTACTAGCCGATGGCCTCCCACCCCTGCTCAAAGTTCTCACATTTTAGCTCTCATGTTTTTTTTCTCCCCACCCCCTGCAATCCGATTTGTCAGGTGGAAACTGGGTGTGAAAAATGGTTGTGTTTTTCAATGGAGCCACAGGGATCTAGGATGCAGTTTATCGTTGCGTGACTGACAATAAATAAGACTGATCACTAATGCCAACAAGATACACTATAAACATCAAATTAATTAAGATACTCACTGAGTGATTACCAAGGAAAATTATTCAAAGATTGTTTATCTGAGATAATGGTAAAATAGTGGACTTACAATGAAAGTGTTTTCTTGGAAAAGAGAATCCAATTTGGCTCTGGCTGAGTGCTAAGCCTGCCTTTACCTTTAAAGGAAACAGGACTGACTGGGTGACTAAACCGCTGAATATAGCAAAGACAAAGTCAATTGGATTTGGAAAGTGAAACAAATAGTTGTGACCCGTGGTGAGTTCAGCAGTAACTGAGTCCACTGACTAATTTGATCAGCAGATACCTGAATGGATGGCACCTGGTTGCGAGAGAGGGATTTATTCATTGTGTGCATGCACACCTATGTGAGCAAGCCCAGGGCACATTTGAGGAAATGTGTCTGTGTGTCTGTTTGAGTGTCTGCTGGCTTTTTGTCAGGCTGTGTGTCTATGCTATAAGTGCTTTCTATATTCTCACACTCATTAGGCAATACTGGGTGGTGGTACTGTAAATACACCATGAACCTCCACAGAGGACAGAGTGAGGGAGGGAGAGAGAGAAAAAATCAATGTGATTGAGTGTTCTGTGTGCAGCCTATTATACCCCTGGAACTCCCCACAGTAGGCTACCATTTCCATAAGGGGGCACCTTATTTACAAACACCAACCAAATGTAAATCCCCTTGCATCTATAGCCTGCCACAAACACATGGCATGATCACGTGACCATTGACATCTGCCCAGCAGCATCACAATACCACAGAGTTGACAGCTTGCATTGTCTAGTAAGTGATTAAGTTGTAGCTAGGCTATTGTGGACACAAACTGACTCCATATTACATAAAAAACTGGATTAGGAGAGTGGAGCTTTGTATTCATGGGGCTGCGAACAGGGATGTACAGATGTACAGTAAGGGAGTTTGAATTAGGTAAATGAACGTCTTTTTGAGGCTGCTGGTACTTTATGTAGCTACGTGTCCCCTACAGGCAGCAGTTAATCTTCACTAAACATCCTACAGTAATTCATTAAATCCAACCAAAACTGAACGCTTCTCTGTCGCCTCGCATCATCCTCTTATGTTCGTCTAGAATTATTAATCCGCACTGAAACAGCGTCTCCGGACACCGTGACGCACTTGGTTGTATCAAGAGCTTTTTGGCTGAAGTAAAACAGGAGCTTCGGCGCTCTGTGCGTCATGTAAGTGAACGTGAAACTATACGTAATTCTTTATAGGGGATGCTAATTATCGAGCACGACACTGCTACGATGCGAAAGACCAGTCCCAACAGGATATTTTCTATTTTAGACATATCCTCAGGGCTGGTTGGTGGGATAAAAGTTGGAAACCTAAGCAAATCAACTCTCATCCGAACACTTCCCATCTCCGTTTACTTCTTTGTGGAAAACAGAAATTGACATAAGAGCAGCGATGAAAAAAACAACAAACTAACGCAGTACATAAAATGATCACATGTGTTACTGCGATCTGTAGCTTGCAGATGCATGCTGCTCGCGGGGAGGATGCTGCTGTGCATCCGGAGGCAGACGGGAGGAGAGGAAAGTTGGAAGATGACTCTTACCTTATAATCGCTGTGTCGCCCTGGCGGATGGTGATGTTGTCGGTGGCCCGCTGCATATCCACGCTCCGGACGGGGAATCCTGTGGGGATAAGACATAGCAGTCTGAAAAAAGAAGCCTGCAATTGCCTCCAACACGATTTGCGTCCGACTTGCATTTTAAAGCACAGGGGCGCGCTTTTCGGGAGCTATAGATCCAAGGGTAAAAAAAAAACGGGGGAAGAAGTAGTTGTCCAGACTTCTCAGAAAACGCTGAATGCCTTTAGGTCCAAAGCAGTCCGGAAAAGGATGAGTGACACGGGTTTCCTAAAATACTTTTTAGGTGCGGGATCCTTGCTCTATAGTCCACTGATGCGTAATGCTCTCCGCGTAAAGGGACGGCACAGCCAGCAACGGCAATGGAGAGAGGCTGGATTCTGTTCAGTCTGGGAAGATCCCCCCGCCCCTCTCTCTCAGATTATCCAGCCGCCTGGCTGTGATGCTCCCCTTACTGGTTGTCAGGACAACAGCACCACCTGAGGTCCCTTTCAGTGAGACACAGCTGAGTGAGGACTGAAGAACAGGGGCAAAATAAGTGAAACAAAAAGAGATGAGGAGACAACTATTTGCACTAAATGCAAAACAACAGAAAACTACCCATCCTGACCAGGTCACAGGTGATAATCTTTACACAACTGTGAGCTCTTAACTCCCTGGATACAAAGCCATGCACAAAGACGCATTCTCAGTGGGGTCACTACAGTATCACCTTATCACTCTTCAAACAAACTGCATGCTCACAGGTATCCAGTTATCTAGAGCAGTGGTTCTCAATCACTTTCATGCCAAACAGATTTGCAATGGACCATGAACCCTCCAGTCGATAAGAGCTTCTGTAGTTAATTATGATTTAGTGTGGGAAATTGCATAATGTCACTGTGGTATCTACATGAAATATTCTATTATATTCTGACCACGTTACGTTCTCCTCTTTTATAGAGGAATGTACTAAAAAGACAGGAAAAACAGGTCCAAGAGCGCAAACTATTGACCATGACCAGGGCAACGCTTAGCTGTGAATAGCTTAACCAGGTGTAATCACCTCTTGTCTAGACTGGCAGGACTGCCATGAGGCTGTAGCTCGGGAGGTAATTACATCTTTCAACCTAAGCAAGGACACAAGTTTTGAAGGTGCACACCTTCCAATTCAACTGAAGTGTGAATGCGAAATGAGCTTCTAATTTCACCACTTGCCAATCAAGCACCAGTCTAATAGGCCATGATCTAATGCTCATTCAACGATGGGCTTAATGAACTGCAGAGTAACAATTTAGGCAGTGCATTTAGCATTTTATTTAATTCAGAAAATACATTAATACTAATGTGAATTGTTGTCATTCATTGCACGGTGGTGTCTCTGGGGGTATTTGGTTAATAATTTAGAATTAGACACGCAGTATTTAATTCTAGGACTCGATGGATATAAGTGCTAGACATGGTAAACATACCATATATGACTTGAATCCCCCACCTCCCCCTTATCTCTAAATATAATGCAATTGTTCTGGTGCACATACAACAGGGACTAGACTAATCCTGTTCCAAGCACCAGCAGTCTGATTGAACGACAGTGAGGCGGTGTGGTTAAGCCTTATTTCCAGCATCAGCAGATTTTAAGCACCAGATCAGACGCTTTTACAGTTGCCCCTCCAGCAGCTGTAGCCTACTGTGAACATGTAGGCTTTACAGCTAGATTAGTGGAAATGGAAGTGCAGATGTACGCACGGCTGAAAAGGAATTACAGTGAGGTAATTGATATCGGGGAGTGTATGGACATGCTAATGTTAGTGCATTAAATAACGAGCACTACAATGTTTTCAGTGAGGGATGCTTGCAGAGATGCTTCCTATTTGGTCCTTAATAATCAGTGCCTGTTACCATTTCCTTAAAGCTTCTGCAGGTTTTAGCCATGTTGGAGATTGTGCAGTTTATTAAAGACCATATGCATTAAGATCACTTAAAAAGGGACTGAAGAGCAGAGAAGAGGCACTTCATTGCATCCAGGTTTATATAGGAAGGAACAATATATTAAAGGAGCACCCAATTGGCTTTTAGTTATAGTTTTAGTTAAAAATTCTCAAACATCTAAGTGGTCTGAAAGATATTGTGTGTAATAAGTAGAACTCTTTGTCGTATGGCAGAGAGTTGGAGGAGGGCAGGCCAGGGACACAGTAGCTTTAAACGGTTCCTAACAAAAGATCAGTGATTCATCGCTATGGAGACACACACACACACACACACACACACACACACACACACACACACACACACACACACTTCTATATTACAAACATTGGACTATCAGTCTATACTGGCCAAATGTGGACCTTGGTTTCTGAATATTTTGAAAAAAAGAAAAATATAGTAAAACATTTTAAGATATTTTCCCATAATATTGCTGCAAATGTGCTTGTTAAATTTTTCAACATTGATAAGTGGGGACTTAAATCCTTGAACAATGTCTACCTACCAAAGAGGGTACCTCCATAGTGAATGACTAACTTTAATGTTATCATTAACATTTCTCTGTGATATAAATTAATGAAGTATTTGGGTGCATGTCAAGGACTGCAGTATTGCGTCATTAACTTTCTCTGGATTAAATTATTAAAATATCTTTTGCAGTGCAATCATTTAAATTTTCACTCAGGGAAATTCATATTCTTCTGTGTTGGTTGGTCAATTTTATGACCTGTGTGAAATGGTTAAGTATGCATTTTAAAGAGGGTTCTATTCATTGTGTGGATTATATCTTATTTTGTATTTGTTCTTAATAACTTAATTAGAGTCGGGAGAAAAAAGATTTCTCATTGTACTCAGATTTTGAATCATGCATCAACTTTACTTTGTTGTGGCTATTTGAACATCAGGGCATTCATTTTAAACTCATTCATGAATATAGTGAGGTCAAGATAATGATTAATTCTTGTTGCAATAAGGATAATTTGACATTCAAACGCCAACATGTAGGAAAAGAAGAAATAAGCAAACTTAATAATACTAAAAATAATCAACTAAATAGTCTATTGAAACTTGATTTTTTGATTATGTTTTTATAACAAAACATAAATGCTCAATTGTAGTGGATTTCTTAACTACTATTAAGCTCCAGACTGTATAAAAATGGAGGACTACCTAGAAGGCAGGAGAATGATTAAGTATTTTAAAACATAAAAAATAAAATAAAAAAACTAAACAATCCAAGATAAATTTAGACTTTTACTAGAACTTTAAAATCATTAAGTCCCAATAAAACTCCACTGGCAAGTTTTCTATGCCCCAGGAGAATACATTTTTCAATGTCCTTGTGTCAGTAATGTATTTCTAGGAATATTTTTTTTTTTGTTGAATCCCATTATGGAAAAAAAAGGTCCACACTTGTATGGTATTAATGGAACCAATCCACTGTTGCTGTTAGATAGCATAGGGTGACATGGAAGAAATAACCACATTTAAGACAAGTGTGGTCCTTTCTTTTGTAATGTGAATCAACAAATAAAATACATGGAATGACATGGGTCTACTGATGCTGAGGTCCACACCCACACACACACACACACACACCAACTGAGTGCTGGAAGACAGAGTGGTTATTATCATGCTAGTGGGATGCTCTCGGTTGGGTGGTGTTGTGGTGTAGACAGCATAACACAGTCATGCATTCTGCTGGAGTGAGCATAGTAGAAACTGTTCATAATATACTGTAAGTAAATACAACGATACATGTGTAAAAACATTTGGCAAGTTCAGGGAACAGCATAGAACAGTTGATGATATATACATCATGTTTCTTTCTGTGAGCCACTTTTTTTTCTATATAATTCAAGACTGATGACATGTGAATTATCAATACGTGTTGTGCATAATGCAGTATACAGTAGAATCCACATTTTCTTGCATCTACTGCAAACACTGCAGCACTGTACCACATAGACATAGATCATTTTTGAGTGCAGGAAACAGGAAATACATACAGGATAAATACACAGTAATTGGTATCTTCTATGATAAGTACTGATAGTGTGTGACAGATAAATGATGAAATAACAACAGTCCTTGAGGGTAAAGCAGAACACAATCCATTATTCAACTCTGTGCAGTTCAACTTAAGAAGGTGACAGCAGCGAACCACCAGGAAGCGATTTTATTGAAACTATATGTAACTAGGAATCATGTCTCTGCGTCTTCACACTTTGCATCAGGACGATCACAGTGCATCATAAATTATGGTGAAGCCAGTGCCTGCTTCGAGGCTGAATTCAAACCTGCAAATGTTTCCAATATTTGTTAGCAATACTTGACTCAGCTGATTTTATTAATACACATTATGAGGTGCCTTGACTTTCTCCCTATTTCATGAGTCATAATGACTCTGGCAGCCCGACTCTGCATGGCACCACTGATCAAAGAGAAGGAACTCAGAACAACAGAAAGAAATAAAGATATATGATTCTGATGTAAATACGGAAAATCCACTTTTAAAGCCGAATTCGCATGTACTTTTCCTATGATGTTAGTTCTTTTAACATTTGCAAATGTTAAAATAAAGGCTCCAGAGAATCAAGGCATCAGTCTGTGGAATGAAGACCTTTTTTTGAAATATAAAATAAATATTTTTGGTTGCATCACCCAACTATCAGTGCAATCAGAATATGATTTAATGTTGTACACAAAATGTAGTAAGACTGCTAATGAGTATAACCAATTATCTCATTATGTGGAGATTCCAGTTTCATGCTGTGGTAAAATGCATGTTCTTTGATGTTATTACAGTATAAGAATAAAGCATAACATTTGGTAAAAATAATTTACTTTAAAGTCTAATTAAAGTAAACTACAGCCAGCATGTGATACATGGATATCTATTGTTATTTGTATTTATGATCTAGGCTACATAATTTGCTATTGTGTATTTCATGTCATGCTGGTTCCTGTCAGTACTTTGAAATCAAGAAACAAGAAACAAGAACGTGATAGACATCAGTACAGCTTACTGCATACTTTCTTCTACCCTTGGGAGTCTTGCTCAGTAAAGCAGATATAACCATCCATCGCCAGAGTGACAATGGCTGCACATTATTTTATAACACCATACCACGCCCTGAATTTCACCAGTATTACTTGGATTTATTGTCACTACCTAGATTTCATCATTTTCTGTTTCTCTCTGTAACATTTTTGTCATCCAGAATCTTTCTGTAGATTATGATTTCAAATGTTTGTTAGAGAAAAATACGCAGTATACTCATGGCAAGGCTTTCTTGTTAGACTGTGTAGTCTGTTTAAAGGGGCACTCCACTGAATATACACATTAACATCAGTTTACTAATCATGGTTAGTATTACTCTGTCTGTAAAAACAGTTCCATAACATTTCCTGTTGGCTCT